GAGATAATTACGTAATTCAATTATTCGCGAACGTAGACGGGAAACGCGCGCCAACGACGAGCAACGAGCTGGCAGAGTGAAAGAGAGAGGGGGAGAGAGAGAGAGAGAGCGAGCGACGAATGTATGCTAACATTAATCAACGACGGTAACGGAGAACGATAACGAGGCACGCGGACTCAAAGTAAACGCAGGATAATGTTCCGCATCGGGGGAACCCCTCGATATCGCCGCAAAATCGGCCGAGAGCGGACGGCGGAGCAGCAGCCATCGATTATCGCCGGCAGAAGCCGTCTTGCGCGAGACGCATACAACACATTTCCGCTGTAATTGAATGATCGTGCAAGTTCGCGCACGCGCGCTCGCGACCCTTTTTTCTTGCCGCTCTCGGCTAATTATAATTCCCGTATCGTCGTTTCCTTCGCGAACAGCGCGCAAACCCGAGCGAGGATACGGCGAGCGCGGTGAAATCCTCCTCGCTATCTCCCCCCCCCACCCCTCCCCTCCGTCTCTCTTTTTCTCACTTTTCCTCTGTCACACGAACGCGCGATCCGTCTAACCGAAGAGTAGAAAGCGACCCGCCAGCATTCGCCGGCTCCATCCGTCCGCGGCGCTCTCTTATCGCTTTACGATCTATTCACTTTCTCATTATCGTTATCGCTTTATGATGACGACGACGACGACGACGACAACTTGGCGGCTGAGCCGGCGAGTTAATATCGAACGACAATATTTTATTAACGTCTGCGACGAGAGCGTCACCGCCGCCACTATCGCCGCGACCGCGATATCTTCGTCCAGAATAGAACCCCGGGGAAAACCTCTCTCTGTTCTCTCTCTCTCTCTCTCTCTCTCTCTCTCCCTCTCTTTTTTTTTTCATTCGCACCGATGGCACGCGGCGCGTTATTATCTTTACGCATTAATGGACCCGCGAAGCTCTCCCTCTGCCCCCTTGTCCCTAACTCTCTCCGCGCCGCACCCTTCTCGCCGAAAGCGAGCGGCTGAATTAATTGCGGGTGTGATAAATTCCGTGAATATTTCTTTTCAATTAATCTTCGTATAAAGGAGTTATCACGCGAGCGAGCGCGCGCGCTATCTTTTGTCGGAGAACTCAGCTCGGCCCCATCGGCTACCATCACTTGGCGGGTTAACGAAGAGAAGGAGGGAGGAGGGGGGGAAGACCCGACGACTCCGCACTTAGACTTCATAGATTTCCAGTGAGGTGAATCGAAGTCCGCGAAGATTGAAATACGACCGGGAGGGGTGGGTGAGAGCGAAGGAGTCGAAGCGGGCGCGCTTCGGCGGAGTGGTGGCACGGAAACAAAGGGTGGGCGAAGGGGACGGAGGAGTGTCAATGTCTTGCCGATCAAAGCGAGTCCTGCAGGTTTCTCCGAGCCTACCCGCTCATTTTTCTTCTCCCTCTTGCGCTCGCTCTTTCTCTCTCCTCTTTTCCACGTCGCGCCCTCGCCCTTCCGCGCCCTCCCGCCAACTCTACCTCCTCCTCCTCCTCCTCCTCCTCCTCCTCGTTCGCCGCATCTCATCAGACTCGTAGACTCTTTCTCGGATGAAAGAGTTACAAAGGCTTTCCTGAGACACTCGTAAGTACTACCTAGCGCGGTTACCGAGACCAAGACGTCTTTCCTCCCGTCCTTTTCCCTTCGGATAAAAGGCGGAGTCGGACCGAGCGGACAGGCAAGTGCGACGCAAGGGGAAGATTCTTCTCTCGCGGGCGAGCAAAAGAGAGAGAGAGAGAGAGAGAGAGAGAGAGAGAGAGAGAGAGAGAGGAGAGAGAGAGAGAGAGAGAGAGAGAGAGAGGGGGAGAGGGTCAGGAAGAGTCGAGGAAGGGGAAGAGCAGCATGGTGCGCATAGTAGATCCAGAGCGAAGGTAGACGGACTGACGGCAGACAAGACATGGACGGCCGACGGAGCCGATAAACACTAGGCAAGCCTGCCCGCCGGTCACGGCGGTGGTGTGCAGACGCAGCGCGCTCAGGACGACCCTCGAGGATGCACCGGCGGCTAGCTGGGCAGAGGAGCAAGTGGAAGGTAGGGCGGGGAAGGGAAGAGAAGGCGGCTCTGGATTGCGATTCCCTAGCGCAAGGGTCCCCAAATTACATCCCGCGGCAGGGCTGGGGTTGTTATCCGGCCCGGTGAGTCTTATTCGAAATGAAGTTATAATGATGATGATGGTGATAATGATGATGATGATGACCATGATGATGATGATGATGATGATGATGATGATGACGATGATGATGATGATGATGATGATGATGATGATGATGATGATGATGATGATAGCGAAAGCAACATTGCGCAGGAATAGAAATGAGAGAGGCTACACGAGAGAGGAGGACACGTGGAGTGGAAACGTCAAAATTGTCCGAAGACGCGCGTCGAGTACGCGCCGTGTTTAGAGACGGGAAGAAGAATTCGACGGGAACAGCGCGGTTATCGACCGGTTAGATTATTATCGCCGTCACGCCGTCACTGGAATGTCATTTGGAATCCATTTAAAACTGTAAACGCGTTTTAATCGCATTTCATTTCAATGAGAGAGAGAGAGACAGAGAGAGAGAGAGAGAGAAAAAGTATCTCCCTTATCGCGGCACTTCGTTTCAATTTCGTCTCGATTGGGCGCGATTGCACTCGCGATATCTCGTTTCCATTCTACCACCGGCTGACGCGTCGGCTTGGCGCGCGCGCCAGCGAGAATATCCGCGCTTTTTCCCCCGCTTGTCATTAATTCCGCACTCGCGTCCGGCGGGCGCGACTGGCGAAACCTCCGCGACGGACGAGGGTGACGCGCTGTGATCTCTCGCGCTGGGCTCCACTTTGGGGACCAGCCGGTCTGGAGAGGCGGTCTGAGCGCCACTCCAGCTTGAGGAAGAATAGGCCCCTAAAGAGTAGCGTAATAGGGAGTAGGCGGCGGACGGTCGTGGTCTGGAGTCTCTCGCTCTCTCTCTCTCTCTCTCTCTCTCTCTCTCTCTCTCTCTCTCGCTCTCTCTCTCTCGCTCTTTTTCCCGAGCGGAGCTGCTGGTCGCCGCGTGTTGCCAACGGAAACCGTTACCAGCCACGAGTTACTCTTCTCTATCGGCGGACGCCACGCTCGAGACGAGCGAGAGAAAGAGAGGACAAAGGCCGTCTGCGCTCGAGAATAAACCGATATTATCGACGACGATGGGAAAGGAGAGCCTCGTGTCTCACGAGCCCGATCCTCGTTAAAAAAGGAGCGAGTGAGAGAGAGAATGAGAAGGGGGCGAGGGAGGGAGAGAGAGAGAGAGAGGGGGGGGGCGGAGGGGGAGAAAAAGAAAATCATACGGTGTCAGTGGCGCGACTGTTCTTTAAGGAAGGAAAAGGAGAGAGGAGGAGGAAAAAGAGGCAAGGAGGACGAAACGCGCGCCACGCGCGAAACGCGCCGAGACTGTGTGCGCGTTTTATACGCACGTCGACGTAGCGGCGAAGTGTGTTGTTCCTCTCCCTCTCTCTCTCTCTCTCTCTCTCTCTCTCTCTCTCTCTCTCTCTCTCTCTCTCTCTCTCTCTTCGTGCGGGCCCGCTCGACACGAACCGCGCGCGAGTCACGCAACTTCTTTGAACTTCACGAGAAGTTTCGACATTCGAGTCGACGGGCGGCGCGCGCGCGCGCGAGAAAGAGAGAGAGAGAGAGAGAGAGAGAGAGAGAGAGAGAGAAAGAGAGGGGGATGGCGAGAGGCAGAGAAAGAAAATAAGGCTCATTATACCCGGGCATCGAGGAGCTAATGATACCCGGGCCCCCCGTCCGGGATAGAGGGATGGTCACGTCATGAAGCGAGTCGGGGCCGAATGAGGGAAGACGCGCGCGCGCGGGGCCGGCTGGGAACGAACATCCTGGCGATACTTTGTAAACTCCATTATCCTCGCCGTGAATTCAAGTGCTTCTCTCTTCTTCCCCTCACTTTGATACTAATTCGGACTCCGTTCTCGTAATTTAAAACGATTATTTGCCGGAGGCATTAAGCACCACCGCCATTACCGGCGCCGTCAATCAGCCTCCTAATTTACTTCGTATCGTCGTTTGACAGTCTCGCTGTGGCTCAGTCTTGGGATTCACGCGCTCGCGTCGGTTTCGCGGGGCTCGGTCGGACGGTGCCGATATGGTCCTCGCATTCCGCGGGACGTGGCAGAAATTAGTCAGGCGAATGTCCCAATCAGCGACGATACAGTCGGTCGATACGGTTACGTCCGTGCCAGACGCGCGTCCTTGCTCTAAATTTCGCGCAATGTCGGTTGCAACAAGTTTCGGGCAAAATCGAAAGCCATATCAATGCTGGAACTTCATTATCATAACACTGCCGACGCGACGCGACAGCTCGGCCAGTAGTAAGCCGCCGACGTGGAAGTTGATGGTCGATACCAGATGTCTATCTGTTAAATCTGCGAAAGTTATCTTCAACTTCATCCGATCCAAACTATCGGTAAAAAGCGAAAGCAAAATGTCGTGTGTTTGATGAAGCGATTCCCGGGGAAAAGATGTTCTGAAAATCGAAATCCTTCGGCAGACCTCGAGTATTCAGATTTCTCCAACAAAATTAATTCCACGTGTACTCTCGGCGCGTGAATTGTCAATTTATTAATTCACTTCCCGCGGTGAAGTCACGTGGTCACGTGGGACGTTCGCCGTACCACGAGATTCGACTTGCGCTGCGTATCTCCACCCCCACACCGCGCTTTACCGAGACGCGTTTCTTCATCAAGCCGCGAGTCGATCTAACGATTCCTTTGTACGAAACGAGCTGCTCAGCGCGCTGCTCGCGCGAACGTCGCGCGTGTGATTCCAATTAATATCGCAAAGAGCAGCGCGTTGCTCGAAGCAGCTGCATGAGAACGAAAGAGAGACGCAGACAGAGCGTGGATCTCGTACGCGCCGCGACGGTCGCTGCTGATCGGGCAAATCGCGATGCGCCGTAGTGGATCCACGTGGTGCGCGCCGACGAGGATGAGAAAGAGCTGTTATCGTCGCTTACCTTAGCGAGCCTCATGGCTGTGAGCCAGCACGCGCGCGATTTCTCGCTGTCGAAAGCGATGACCTTGAGCCCGGGCTCCCCAGCCTCCGTGTCTTCGGCCTCGGCGTTGCTGTTCGGCCTCAGGCAGGCGCCCCACACGAAGGGAGCGCCGAAACACCGCTTCGCGTTCGGAATCCTGTAGACGTTGTAGTCCGTCAAGTGTACGAGCGGGATTAGCTGCTCGTTGTCCTGCAACAAGAAGCGACCACCGGCCGGCTCGATGAGAAATATTCGCGACCGACCGAAGCGACGCGGGGACTAACGTCGTCGGGCAATCGGATTACTCGACTTCAGCTGGCGAAGTGGAGTAATCCTCGCTCGCTCGTGAGCGCTCGCTCTACCTCCTTCTGTCTGTGTGTCTGTCTCTCTCTCTCTCTCTCTCTCTCTCTCTCTCTCTCTCTCTCTCTCTCTCTCTCTCTCTCTCTCTCTCTCTCGCTCGCTCGCTCGCTCGCTCGCTCTCTTGCAATTTCACCGTACTCATTTTCGCCGTCCTCCTCTAACCTCGCGCATTTCGCCATTATTGCATTTGGCTCGCTCTAATTTCAAGTGTACCTTCAGCCTAGCTTTCTTCCCAACAGTCTCTTATCTGCGAACCGACTCTCTTCTCGTCCCTTCTCTCTTTGCATCCAAGCTGGATTACACTTGCTTATTCGTGAACCGCTCTATTCGCCGTCTCTGTCGTCTTTATATTTAGTTGCTCTCTTCGAAAGAGTGTCTCAGCCCAAGTTGAATAAGGTCTACTCTCTACTAAAGCGAGAGGGAGAGAGAGAGAGAGAGAGAGAGGGAGAGAGAGAGAGAGATAAATATATAGATAAGTACGTGTATATTATCACTCTGAGACTAACCCTCTGAGAGCGCTATAAAAAAGTTACACGCTACAGAGCACAGCACTCAACAATCGAACAAGAGGCAAGAACTTGATTGAAAAAAAGAGAGACGCAAAATGGGAGACTTGTGAGTTCGCGCCCACTGCACATTACCTCCCCCCCCCGCACTGCCGGCGTGGCGGGGCAAGCCGACGGTTGGCTGCACCACGCGCGTATCGGCGCGATCATTGTTGACGCTCTGAGCGGCTAATGAGAGCGGTTTTGCGACAATAAACAATCCACTCGGCTGCGCGACGACTGTAACGACCGTCGTCGTGATAATCGCCGGTGGTTAATGAGTACACGCGACGGCGCCGCTGGTCGCAGCCGAGGTCGCGCGAAGGCGACCATCAGCTAGGGGTTGGGGGGTTGGCTGCATCATCCCCCGGCGGAACGCTCTCGAGCGAAGCGGCTAGCTTCGCGCGCAAAAACTGCCGCGAGATATTTTTCCAGCGGTCCTCTCCCCGTCGACTTTCCTCTCGCTGTTCCTCCTCCCCTCCTCACCCGCCCCTCTCTTCCTCTTTCTATCTTCAGGCCGAGCGGCGCGGCGCGGCGCGGCCTCGTCGCCGGATTCAGCCGGGAAACTTTCTTTCGCAACGTCGCGGGAATCGCAGAAGCAATTTATTATACGTCGGGACGATTTTTACGGCGCATGCGCGCGCGCACGCGGAGCGCGACGGCGACGACGGCTCTTATCGCGGGCTCGCCATTATTTGCCCGCAGCGGGAAAGTTGCATTTGTCGAGTGATTTCCGGCAGTAAATATTCATAGACGTTGCCGCGCGGTTGTGTTCCTCTCAACAAGCGAGGAAACGTCGCCTCGAGGTCGAGTCCGCGACCGCGGCCGGAATAGCGCGGCGTGCGGCGAGTCCCTCTTCCGTTCCCGCGACGTCGCACAGTGAGTCGCCAGATGACATTTTTCGGTTGAAAATCCTCCAGAGATCTGAATCTACAAGCGATCATCGACACCGGTGGATGAGGTCGATCCTGAATAAATTCCAAAGAGATCCGTCTAGCCGAAATTTGGAAACAATTATTGTAATATATTGGTTCAGGGTTCCTGAATGGATTTAGGGTCTGTCTGAAAAGTTTATCGTTTGAAGTACAGTGTCTTACGGGTTCGACCTCAATGGGTTCGAGCCTATGGATACTAATTGCGAGAGCCCGGAACTCTTTTATAATCACCTTTTAGAAAACTCAGAATTTCAAAGCTCATCATTTCAGCCCACATTAACGAAAGAATTAAGCCATATAGACCGAGTAAGTAAAAACATGGAGAAAACATTGAACAAAACACCCAACCCTAACCTGATGGTCCATGAGCCCAAAGCTCACAAGCCATCAAAATCGATAAATCTCGAGGTGTCTGTTGATTGGTTTCATGGTTCCAATCCGCTGAATACGCTATTACATCGAAATAAGTGTCGAATAATGAGTATTGCACAAGTTCCTCGCGTTTAACGATAATTTCCCCTCTTTCGGGGCTGAGAAAAGTGATCGGAGAAAAAATTCTTTTTTTAATTTCGGCAAGACAGATCTCTTCGGAATTTATTCAGGATCAACCTCTTCCATTGGTGTCGACGATCGGTGGGAAATTCAGGTCTCTAGAGAATTTTCAACCGAAGAATGTCATCTGGTCCCACTGCGCGTCGTGCCGGCCAGTTGTCAGCTGACAATTTCACGTGGAATTCCGCGCGTGTCGCGCAGGACCAAGACGCGCGCCATTCTTTCCCGGAAGGAGATGCGCGATATTTCGTGAACCGCCTTTGCCTCTGAAATCGCGCCGACCGCGATCTCCGTTCGATGCTGCGTCGCGACCGCGGCTTTCGGTCACGCGCGTAATTTTGCAATTATAATTGCAGTTGCAAGATTGTAATCGCGAAATTACGCGCGACTTTTGGCGCGTGCGATTACGGATTACGTCCGAGTCGGCGACCGACCGTCGTGTGCGAGTAAAACTTCAACGCTGCTCTCTCGGCGCTTCGAAGTAACGTCACGCGTTTCTTTTCGCCGCCGCGACGTCGCTCATCAGACCGAATTATCATCAGCACCGAGGGGAGAGCAAGAAGAGCAGGGGGGGGGAAGACATACGTGCGCCTCGGCGTCTGTAAACAATCTCACGCGCAATTGGCGTCGCGCGATGGCTTTTGTACACACACATTCAAACACAGGACGCAACTCACCACGCTGCACCGCGAGCGCATCGTCACACGACGACAACGTAGCTACTACTCTCTGACCTTTATCCGCACTTATCGGCGCCCGCGCGATAAGCGCTCAACCGTGAAAGCCTCGGCTCGAAAATCGCGCCGCCATCGTGTAAAGTCTTCTTAAATACGATCGCTATATCGCGTATCCACACGCGGGATCGTCGCTGAAATCACCGTCGAAATGTCCCCTCGATATTTTAATATCGGCCGACTGAGACCGCCCCCCCCCTCTCCCTCCTATCGCTCGTTCCTCGTTGTATCTTATCTGTACAGCCAAGTGCACGACAGCGGGAGGGCGGAGACGGAAAAGTCGCCTCGGTAGAATGAGACGCGCAATTAGCGCGATTAGCCGCCGATGACGCGCCTCTTTTGACGCGTTAGCGTACCCTAAGCGTGTCGCCGCGGCTTTCTAAGTGCGAAAATAGCACGCCCGCGCGCTGCTCGAGTCACGCCGAGGCGACGACGACGACGACGACGACTTTAATCGTGATCGAAGGAACGAGAGAAGAACCTGCTGCCGCGGTTCTCCAGCGAGGGGCTTCGCTGTGTTGCACAGGGCGCTTTTTTATTGGCTACGATTTATCATCTGAGAAAATAGCTTAGATAATATATAGCGAGTAGAGAACGACGGCTCTGTGCGACACGGTGCACTCTTGCTGGAAAACTGCCACCGCCTCTCTCAACACTTTGTCCCCGTTTCCACTGCGCCGTTCCGACGACGATCGCATTTTTCGACGCGCGCGGTGAATCAGTCATCAGAAGATCAAACTCGCCCTCTTGCTCCTTTTCTCTTCCCCCCTCTCTCTCTTTCCCGAGTCGGTTGATCGACAAAGAGAAAATGATTAAATATATATATATATATTACTCGTATAAATTATTATATAAAAATTATAAATAATTTTTAAATAATTACAAATAATTATGAGTACTTAATAATATATATTTCATATATATTGTATAATATACTCATAAATAAATATATAAATAATACAAATTATTAAATATTATAAATATATATTTATTTATTGCTAAAACGACAACGCGACAAGAAACAATTCCGTCGATGCAACTGAATCTTCCGTAATGCAGAAGAAATGCAGATGTCGAGTGAAAAATTCAATTGCAAGAAAGTCCCAATCGCCGAAGTAGGGATATATCTGGACGGATTTGATTCAAGCAATTAATTTGGATGCAGCAATAATTTGTCCGCGTAAAGTCCACGGCGCGTCGAGCCGCTCGGCTCGGTGCCTACTTTGCTGCTATGCATCTTGCAACAACACATCGACAAGTCGCAATAAATTGACGCAGCAAATCTCGGATCAAAGACGCTACTTTAGTCGGTTGCAAGCGCCTCGGGGTTCCCCAGCGCGGGCTGGTAGAAAGCCGAGTGTATCCAAAGACGCCGCGAGACGGAAAAACTCAAAGTATAACTTCGCCCTTAGCGCTAATGAGACCTTCCTTTCGCAGAGCGCTCCGTCTGGATATCCTTACGTCAACGATCTCAACCGAGTTTTAATACAACTCAATGCTCCCGAGACGAAACGTCCGACTCGAGCCGTCTCTAACACGTGTAGATTCTGGAGAGAGCCACTGGGACATTCGGTTTATGTAGAAACTAAAGTTCCGCTCAGCGCTTCCAAATGGCGGAACAAGCAAATTGGCCGTGTGCAGATTTTCGCGAGAAGAACCTTTCGGCAAACCTCAACGCAGTCGAGAGACGTTGGTGCACAGCCGGGATTTTGGCGTTGCTTTCGGCCCCGAACTCACCGGCGTCCAAAACTCGCGAAGGACCGATGATAGAGATTCACCTGACTGATGCAGAAACTCAAGTTCCGCGTGTTGAAAGAAGCGTCAGGAAACGCGCCGTTTGCCAGTTTTTCAACAGATCTCCCGCCGGTAAGTTGTAGCTGCCAAAAATCACTGCAACAACAGACTGACGTAGACTTTTCAGACTGTTGAGCTAGAGTTAGAGAGCGGAATATAGAGGTGAGAGAAGTATAGGACGAAAGTTTCCAATCTCTTGGGTCGGTATGAGCTGCGTAATGCCGGTTCTACAATACGTCGTGCGTTGGAGTCGGATGTCGGAAGGCAGTCAGTGGTCCAATGAGGAAAAT